CTGATCGCCCCTAACTGCCTCTGCCTCGGCCCGCCACCATGGCTTTGTCCAGAAGGTCTCCCAGTCTAATTAGCATATTACCCTTTTATTAGTATAGATTGCTATGAAAATTCATGTGTAAGTTTTAATGTGGACATTTACTTTCATTTCTCTTGGATATATACCATTTTAAAGTCCCACAAGCAATGTATGAGTGTTGCAATTTCTCCACATCATTGTGGACACATTATTGTTGGTCCGTTTGATTGTAGCCTTCAGAAGGGCAGTCACCTTATAGCCACTGTGGCTGTGAAGTGGTATCTCCTTGAAATTTTAATTTGTTTCTCTTTATTGACTAAGATCTTGAGCATCTTTTTATGTATTTATGCTCTGAGTTTTTGATTCCTGGGGATCATAAAGGACACTCACCTTAGTACTTTCAGGAATAATTTTAAAAGAATAACCAAGGACCTAAAACAGTGCCAGGTCCATCCCATCTATCCTTAGGTAGTCATTCTGCCACACCAGATTAGATCATGGACAACTTAATGGAGATTACAATATTCTGAACTGTGTGGGTTCAACAAGAGGTTGAAAATATGAAACGGGATCTCTTGGGTAAAAGGAATGGGAGGTTTTGTGAGAGGAGTGCTGAATCTCTTTCTAGGCCAAAGGATAGAGAGAATTGTAACTGAGCAATATCAGAGGGCCATGGATCCAGTGAAGAAAAGAGCAATGTAGTGGGAGTGAAGGGAGAGGACAAGGCAAATAAGAGTATAAGAATGTCTAAGTGGAGAATCTCTGCACTGAAAACTATTTTGTACTTAACTAGAATGGGGTAAATAATTATTATCCAATGAACTAGTATATTTCAAAATCCTGAAATAATCTGAAATAGTAGAGTCTAAGAGAATGAAGTATTTCTGCCCTGGGTTCAGGTTTGGCCAATTTATTATAGATACTCTGTGGTATTTTTTGGTATCTTAAATCACATCTAATTATAGTATTTTGGGCAGAGAAGCCATAATCACCATTAAAAAAATAATCTCTCAGTTAATGTTTTCATTCAAATTAATGCTTTAATCCAAGTGACGAACCTTATATCACTAAATAAGGAATACTTTTGAGTAAATTAAAAATTTTTAAGTATATGAATTTTGCACACGATGTGCCACCTACTGGGTACTTAAATCTGATGTCTCTCTCCTGTTGATGTGAATTTTAGGTGAGGTATCTCCTCTGCTTCTTGAGTACTAGACCCAGTGGGACCATGTACATTTGCCTTTTGTTTACAGTGATATTTTCAAGTACACTCTATTTCCAAGAAAACAGCTGCTGTCCTTAAGTCAAACTGCACGCACAGCACTGTGACCATTGGGATGGAGACGAATTACCTCATTAGGAGAATGCACCTCTCCCTAAGGGAACTGATCCTGGGGCTTATATATTTTTGACATGTTCTGAGGAAATCTCTTAAGACAGCTGGGTAATCTTTGCTTCATTGCTACTATGGTTTACATCTTAAAAAACAACAACACTTGATATGCTTCTCCATGTTGAACGTGTGATTCTCTGATCTGTGTCTGTTTAGCAAGTAATTTCCCTCCTTTCCCTTATCCAGAAGCTTCCGGCTGTAGTGCTCTTTGTGAAAGAAGGATTATTGAATGTGTACAGTTAGCCGCGTGTTAAAATAGGAGAAGGCTTGATGTAACTAAGAAAATTGGCCTTGGAACTATCATTTTGTCAACCCAACACTTTTTGCTTCATTACATGTTTTTGTGTGTTGATTGCCATTCTCCTCTCTTTCTCCAGGCTGGGAAGTGATGATACCCAGTTTGAAGTCAGCATGGCCAACAACGGATGTGAAGTGCATCGTTTTGATCCTAGTGTCAAGTCGGCTCATATTCTGGAGAATCAGCGCCTCTGGTATCACCGCTTGTCCATTGACTGGCGGGACCCCCATCCAGCTGTTGCTGCCCTAAAGCCGCATAGCAACACCAGAAAATTGGGGACCATTTTGAATGAATTTGGGCATCACAAGGTGAGAATTTTTTCATTTGATTTCATAAAGTGAACAAACTCATAAACTGTGTATTTTTTTTAATACAAACCAAGAATTGGATAGTTGAAGGTCCAGTTTAAAAAAATTATTTTTGAATTACATTTTACATTCAATATTATTTTGTATTATTTCAGGTATACAGCATTGGGGTTAGACAATTATATTCTTCACAAAGTGTGATCCCACCAATATTTCCAGTACCCACTTAGCACCATACATAGTTATTACAATATTATTGACTATATTCCCAATGCTGTACTTTATATCCCCACGACTATTTTGTAACTAGAAGGTCCAGCTTTAACCTTACTCATTATCCATCATTATTTATAGAATCAACTTTGTAGACCTAAGGTTTTGACAAATGTAGAAATATTTATATTGATTTGAGAAATTTAGTTGCTGTTGAGTAGGCCTAAGTAAGGTTTTGGCTAAGACTGGACAGGGCGACTAAGAAACCTACTCCTAGCATAGGCTCCAGCTTACCATTTCCGATGGGCAATTGATTTAAAATTTCCAGACAGAGGAAACTATTTGTTAGCCTCAAATACAAAAAGTAATCAGAGTCAGGTTTATGTTTGATAACAGATTGCTTGTGTATCATATTTCTCATTGTTATAACAACTTTTTGAGTCTCCAGGTTTTGAAAGGTCAGAAAATATGTGTAGCTTTGATTAAAATGTACTTTGTAAAATTGAATGGACATTACTAGTATGTGTGTTGCAACTGAGAGATACTTAGGTTCAAAGGATGTCAAATCTCTACAAATATTTTATTGGGAATAGATAGCAAAAAAGAGACTCCAACTTTGAACTGTGTTCCTAAAAGCAGAACTGAGCTAATTGCATTTTGTAGGGAGATACTGGAAAAATTCTCCTGAGTGTAGCTGGCTTCTGTTTGATCACCAGCCTTCTGGGCTTGGCCTATCTTGGCCTATTATTCCCAGCCAGAGATGGCATGTAATTTAGAACATGCCAGAATAGGTATTTTGGAGAAACAGTGTACATGGAGCTCAATGTTAAACTTGAGTTTGCTGCTTAATCTTTAATAAATGGGCTTTTCCTCTGCATTGTTCTTTCCCCTCCCCCTCTTCCTTTTTCTCCTCCTCCTCCTCTTCCTCTTCATCTTCTTCAAAAACAAAAACAAAAAACAAAAACCAACAACAAACAAAACAAAAAAACAAAACACCAAACTCCCTTTGATTCAACAGCAGGAGCTTCTTCAAGAACAACTTTAAAGAATTTTCTCTTCTTTTAACATGTGATTAACTACTGATTTGTATTTTGCTTTGCCATTGAGAGTAACTAGCATTTAATAGTTAGAAGCCTTAATGAAAAGTATATAGGATATTTTGGGTAAAACCTGTGAACAGAACCCAAAGAACTGAGAGCATTCTTTAGAACTTTATTTTGTTTTTGCTGCCTGTTACCTTCCTAGACCTGCTTTTTACAGCTGAAAATTACAGGCTTGATTCTCAAACATGTCAACTCTAGATTATTCCAAGGGCGAACTACTGATCTTTGTGTTCATTTAGGCGTGTTCCTGCTTCTCCTTAATGCTCTTTACATCCTGGCCCCTATCCACCACCACTCTTTAAGAAAAGACTGAGTAGAGGAAAGAGGTGAAGCTTAAAATGATTTTGCTTTTTTTTCGTAATATTTTTAAAACTTTGGAATATGTGAGGATAAAATGAGACTTTGAAAAACGATCTGTGGATATAATTTATTTAAGCCATATTGCCTATGGAAAAGGTGTTCTTAGACAACCAGATTCGCACCTGATTTGTGCTTGTTTGACTCCATGGGGGCTGAAGTAGGCAAACCTGAATGCTGAGGATGAAGCAGGAAGCCTCAACAGCAGAAACATTTACATCCCCGGAAAGGAGACACGCTCTGGAACATTCCTTATATTCCAAAGGCTACTTATTTTTATTAAAAAACATGAATAATGGCACTTACAAATAGTTAAGATGGTAATTTTTATGGGTATTTTACCACAATAATAATAATTTTAAAAAAAAACAACACAGGAAAAAAAGACCCCTAGTAATAATGAAAGTGATCTGGCTCAGAATTGTCAGAATGTTTTTGCTGCTTAAAAACAAAACAAAAAAAAACTCTTGTTGAAAAATTTTAAAGAGCCTGACATTCTTTTGTAGAGATGATTTTTGGGGGAATGCTTTAAAACAAAAACAAAAGTAAGCCCGTCAGTGAGTGATGGCTTCCTTTAGGAACATGCTTCTGGGAGCGATGTGAGACCAGATAAAGGGAAGATTCATTTCTGGCCTGTAGCACTCTAGGGCTGTTTTCATTTTGCTGCATGCGTACAGATACTGGTAGATAGGACGTGGCTCTGGCAGGGAAAGCAAACAGAGAAAACAGCTCACACTAAAACATGGCAGTACTTACTTTCTCTCTCCTTTTTTCCCCGCTGAAAGCGGCTATAGAAACCAAAGTGGTGTTAGTTGTGTTGTTTTCACGTCATGACTTTAAAACATATCCTATAGTTTGATGATGTTCTCCATGTTAAGCTGTTATTTTTTTTCCTTTTTATCAGACCTCGATTCTAGCCACTCTGGCAAAATGTCAGCAAAATGAAAAGCAGTATATTGCGATGGTGACAGAAAGATGCATATGGCTTTCTCAGTACTTTTAAAACTCTCTGGTAATTTTAACTTCAAACTATAAATCAAAAATCGTTCTAACGCATCAAGGGAGAGCAGTTGCCTCAGCAAAAGCTCGAGAACCAGAAGCTCAGTCTGTCAGGGAATAATTTCACCTGAATCCAGCATTATCTGAAATGATTAACTGTCTTTACCCAACTGCTTGTTGCTGTAACTACGCATTAGATTTTTTCCAGAATATGACTAGAAATATTGAATCTGAAGTTTCTGCACATATTAATCATAATCTCTGCCCCCCCCCCAAGGTCTTGATTACACAGAGTATGCTAGATGACCCAGGCAGGTTAATGATAAATTATTATTTTCAGTCTCCACCATGCTGATGAGATGAATAACACGACTGCGTTAGAGCTTACCTCTGCAAACTCAGTAGTCTGGGTTTGAGACCTGGGTCCTCTGGTTGGTTTTGGGCATTGGGCAAGTCTTAAATGACTCTCTGGTGCTCGGTTTGTCAATAAAATTGGGACAGCGATACCACTTAAATGGGTTGTTTTTGAGGACTGGGCCAGAAAACAGTGTGAAAGGCTCCAGCAGAGTGTCTGGCATGAATTAGTCATCTGTTTGTAAGTTCAAAGAATTTTTATGAACAGTTTCAGAAAATTTGTACTGAATTTCATAGAAAACATTTTCTTGCCCTATTTTCAGGGGAAAAACATGGGAGATTTTTTTTTCTGGAAATTGTTAACTGCACCTAATTCCAGTCAAGAGTTTTAAATGAATGCTTTGTGTGAAACTGAAGGGCAATTGGTCCTTCATCGTGGTTGTTGGGAACTATTATTGTTTGCTGCCTCAGGTACTGAACAGTTTTGCTGTGATTGTCCAGAAAGTAAATAGAAATGTAATAAGCTGCTGAAAAGTAATGCAGAGCAGATGTAACCTGAGGGGGATGACCCGGATCAAGCTGACTCAGTGCTGAGAAAGGATGGGGTCCTCCCTCCCCTCCCTGGACGCTACCCCAGCTTTTGAGTTGTTCCCATGGATCCTCACAGGAGAGGCAGTTTCTGCTTCCCTGGGCTGAGGGCTCCCCATTGATCACAAAACATCATTTCTGCCTGGCTGGCATGGCTCAGTGGTTGAGTGTCGACCTATAAGCCAGGAGTTCATGGTTCGATTCCCGGTCAGGGCACGTGCGGGCTCCATCCCCAGTATGGGGCGTGCAGGAGGCAGCACATCAGTGATTCTCTCTCATCATTGATGTTTCTATCTCACCCTTGCCCTTCCTCTCTGAAGTCAATAAAAATATATAAACAAAAACAAAACATCAGTTCTGTTGTGTGGTCACTGCTGTATTAGAGAGAATATGGGCTTTGAAATTCAACTACAGAAAGATTCCTTTCCTTTTTGCTTGTCAGATTGGCAGATATAAACAAGATATTGATGCTGCCCTACATTGGAGTGCTTGTTGGGAATAATACTCATGCTTTGCTGCTGGAAATGGAAAACGATAGCACTTTCTGGAAGAAAACTCAACCATGTGTATAATGATGTCACCTTTTATTCCTAGAAAACTTAGTCAAATTCTATTTCATCTGCTATTAGTTCTGCCATTCCAGCTCTTTTTGGATAAGTGTTTTTATGAAATGCCATTCTAAATTCCTTTATTTTTATTTTTTTGGATATAGTTTTAATTTATGTAGCATATAAGAGTGACATTCAGTAGATGCCTGGATTATGTTTTTAAATCCAATCTGATAATCTCTGTCTTTAAACAGGTGTGTTCAATTCACTTAGTTCATAGTAATTGGGATTAATTTTTACTCTTTTAAATTGAGCTTTTTGGTTTTCAGTACATTTTTCTCTTCTTGCCAAAGCTTATTTTTTTATTCTTTGTGGTTACCTTTAAATTTTAAATGTATATAATTATAAAATTTTAAAGCAACATATAAAATTATCAATATTTTTATATTTCATCTAAATACATCAAGGATTATAGCAAGTTAACTGCCCATTTAACATGGATCCCCACATGGTTCTTTTCTGGAGGTTGTTTTTTAAAAATATTTTTTTATTGATTTCAGAAAGGAAGGGAGAGAGAGAGAAACATCAATGATGAGAGAGAATCATTGATTGGCTGCCTCCTGCCGCCCCCTACAGGGGATCGAGCCCGCAACTGCAACTGGGTGGGCATGTTCCCTGATTGGGAATCAAACCATGACCTCCTGGTTCTTAGGTAGACCCTCAACCACTGAGTCATGCCAAGGGCCTTTTTTATATTTTAAAAATGTCAATCACTTTTGGGTGAATTTCTCAATACTGGCTTCCAATTTTTAAATTTCCTTTTTAACTATGTCCAGTC